ATTTTTCCAGTTTTGGGAGATAAAAGAGATTAAACGATTTACCTATATTAGATAGAAGTAATATTTAAACTCGAGTCATGGATGTGTTATCCTTTTGATTGTTCTATGTTTAGGAATTGCTGTCATTAGTATTAGTTTTGTCATGACTTTGATGGGTTTCTACCTCTATGATTAATTGAATTATCAGCGACTTAATAGACAGAAATCAACTAGTAAAAGATGTAGAACAACAGATTCTAAATGTTAAACAGAAGATCCTTAGAATTTTCATATCCAATGATTTGTCGTGATAATATGTTGACACCTGGACATTTATATGTATCAATATCAACATGGTATATAACAGTATAATGTGTATAGGTATCAACATAACATACTGTGATAATCTGAGGGTTATTTTATTTTATTTTAATTTTAGTTTTTATATTCTTAAGACACTCATGCAGTCATGCTAGTCATTACTCTCTATTTGTGTTCTTTGGAAAGTCAGTGTGAACTAAAAATAATGTTAATATGATTTTATGTATGAATCAATACAGCAGATACATAAATGATGATTCTAATAATATCTTGGTATTGAAATCGTTTAAAACTTTTTTAAATAAGCTTTTGGAAGATGATTTTGCTTCTTAAATTCTTTGCAGGATTTTTTCAAAGAAGCTGTTGATGAAATGGCAGCGAGAAGCCTGCGGTGCGTTGCCATTGCATACAGATTATATGAAATTGACAAAGTTCCTTCTGATGAGGAGAGCTTAGACCCATGGGTTTTGCCAGAAGATGATCTTGTTTTGCTTGCTATTGTTGGTATTCAGGTATGCCTGATGACATAAGTTTTCCATTATACCGCAAATTTTTTCATCTTGGTGTTTAATCAGCTACATCCCTGTGACCTTAATGTGGATATCTTATTTTAATATTTATTTCTATTTTATGGAAGCAGGTGACCTTCATGTAAGATATAGCAATTTCCTGTGCTTGACATCTTTATCTGTCTAGGCTCATACTCCTTGTTTTTCCCCATTTTGTTCTGAATCATCTCTTTGTCTTATTGAAAAGTATTTCATAGGATGTGATCTCTAAACTCCAATCAGTATTGTATATCCTTTGGATCAGCTGTTATTAGAAAGATCTTTAGTTTAAGTTTGTTTAGACCTTGAAGGGTCCTTCAGCATGCACTTACTGGGTCCTTCAGCATGCACTTACTTTGTCCCCTGGTTTCTAGTGCCTACCACTGCCTAATATGATATTTATCTGTAGGACCCTTGCCGCCCAAGTGTCAAAAATGCTGTAAAAGTGTGCAAAGAAGCTGGGATAAAGGTAGCTTGTTATATCTCTTGATAATTTGCTTTCAAATTTAAATCATGTGAATAATCATTCCTTTATCTCTCTATGGATCTTATTAGATCTGAATTTTTGAAATGTCAATTGCTTGATGCTGTTTTATTCATTTTTTGGTTCAGTGTCAAGTTTATTGATAGTGATGCTGTTGAATGTAAAACTAAATTTGATATAGAAGTAATTAAATGAAAAATGTCTTCTGAGGCTCATGTGTTTGAATCCGCAGGTACGCATGGTCACTGGAGACAATCTTCAAACAGCAAAAGCAATAGCTTTTGAGTGCGGAATACTTGGTTCTGAATCAGATGCTACTGGGCATACTATCATTGAAGGAAAAACATTCCGTGATTTTTCAGAAGAAGAAAGGGTACAAATTGCCAAAGAAATAACAGTATGTCCTCAACTGTGTGAATTTCCTAGATCATGTGTTTAACTACATAAGCTTCTTTCCTGATAGTTATGTTCTTAATATGATATCACATATTTTTGGTTGGGTATTCAAGATGAATCAACAATTAATTTGAGTTTTGTATAGGTGATGGGGAGGTCTTCTCCTAATGACAAGCTCTTGCTTGTTCAAGCACTGCGTACGGGAGGGGATGTTGTTGCTGTGACTGGAGATGGCACTAATGATGCTCCTGCACTTCATGAGGTTTGTTGTCTTTGTGTCTTTTTGTTTCATGAGTTTGGCATAGCTGTGGCTTCTTTATCATATTAAAACTAGTGTGAGCATGCGTCAAGTAGAGTTGACAAGTGATATAGGACAAAAAAGAGAAAGATAAATTGATGCTAGACAAGATCAAAAAGGAGAGAGATAACAGAAAGAAAAGAGTTGAAATCATACAGAGAATTAAGTCAGGATTATTATTTTTTGTGACAGTGCAACTTAGATATTAAGACTTTTCCCTCTGGTGTTGTCTTTTATACCTTTAGTGTGCTCAATTTTTTATATCATATATTATATAATGTTTCCCTTTCAAAGTTGATTGCATTTTTACCGTTCTGTCTTTTAGGCAGATATTGGTCTTGCTATGGGCATTCAAGGAACTGAAGTTGCGAAAGAAAGTTCTGATATAATTATCTTGGATGATAACTTTGCTTCAGTTGTAAAGGTTAGTGTGCATTTGAAAGCCTATGTGACTGGGGATTGTATGTTATACTTTTTCTTATCTACTGTTGAATGGAAATATGAATTTTCTTTGGCAACTTTTTAATAGCATAAATTCCATGTTTGCCAGTTCAGTGTGAAGTCATTATGTTGCATTTATTTGGTTTGGTTTCTTAGCAATAGAATGTGTGGAATATAGTCTGTGGTCTTTAAATGTTGTTATTTCTGAGACCTCAACTCTAGCCTCTATGCAAGTGTACTGGATAAGTGAGGGGCAGAGTGTTAAGGCTCACTCGTCGAATTATAATCCTTCCTTATACCATGAAAAGGTATTTTATGCTTTAAGCAAATATGTAATGGTCTTTAACCGATGTGGGTGTATTAGTTTTTTGGTTTTATACATTTGTGCATTTTGAAATGGCTTGCTATAAATTCTGTCTTGAAAGGCTTCTCATATTTAATGTTTAAGCATTGCTTGCGGGTTCAAAGGCATTTTGTCCTATATGTTTGTGATATGTTGGACAAGTAGAAAGACAAATGGGTTTATGGTGTTAATATGGCTTACTTTTCACGTGTTTCATTTTCTTTATTTTTCCTGTTGGATCTGGGTAAGCAGCTTTTATAAAAATTTCACATATTTATTTACAAATTTGTATCTGAGGACTTTTTCTTTGTAGGTTGTTCGCTGGGGGCGTTCTGTGTTTGCCAATATTCAGAAATTTATACAATTTCAGCTTACTGTTAATGTTGCAGCTCTCATCATTAATGTTGTTGCAGCAGTATCGTCTGGTAGTGTTCCTTTAAATGCAGTACAGGTGATTACTCTGTCTTTCCTCTTCCTATCTAGGCTCTTTTTCATTTTATTTTTTTGATATGCCAATTCTTGAAAGCTAAATTTGTGTGTAAGATTTTGCTTTGAAGAACATGGTGAATTGGAAAAAATGATTAAATTTTTTAAAAATTTGAGACTTTTAGGCATTGGCAAATTGGTTTTTGGTTGTATCTGTACCTGCACTTGCTGATAATTAAAACATCCCTACTTTATTTTTCCACAGTTCTTTTATGACTTATCCTCCAAATTGTCAGCAGAATGATATTTATTATACAACCGCGGTATTAATTTATAAGATTAGAACAAGCAGTGAATGGTTCTTCTATTTCTTTTACTGTAACATGCTCTTAGTGCATTGAACTTCTAGAAGCAGGAAGAAAATGAGTCTTGAATTTTGTACTTATCTTTGATTTTTGTAGATTAATCTATCTTATGTGTGCCTTGTTTCAAGCCACAAAATTGTTTTCTGATTCTGCTTTTTATGTCTCTTGCTTAGCAAAGGTAAATTATAGGTTTCTTAGGATTTTTAGATATATAATGAAATCAATTACAGGACAGTTTAGAATCTGGATATGGAAAGCTCCAGTTTATCGTGTTTATATATGTGTAGATTCAGGTAAAATATTGCATTTAAATATCCATTTCTTATGACCAAATTTTTTTGCATTTCTTGGTACAGTTATTATGGGTTAACCTTATAATGGATACGCTTGGAGCTCTTGCATTGGCTACCGAACCACCAACAGACCACCTTATGCATAGATTGCCGGTTGGCCGAAGGTTTGAACTATTGATTGTTGCTGAATGTGCATTATTATACTTACATTAGTATATCATATACTCTTCGGTTTGTATCTCATGTGACTTTGTACCTTCAAAGATATTGTTTTCTACAATTAGCATGATTTTTGGTTATTGTTGATATATCTCACTATGGCCTCATATACATCAATTCACTTGATTTTACATGTCAATATATGTTTGGCGTTTTTAGGCAAAACTTGAATACCTTTATGCCTCTGAATTCCAGGGATATATATTAGTGATTGTTAATTGCTTACTGAAATTTATCTGGAGTGATGGCAGACTGTGTTTAGTCGTATTCATTAATCTTTATTTACCAACACTGGCTGTTTTTTCCCTCTTATGTTTGCATAATATTCGTTTGTGCTTCTTAACTTCTATATCAAATGTATTTTTCTTTGTCGATGTCACTAAACTTAGTATATTAATAGAAAATTGGACCACCTGTTTTTGACTGCATGTGATAGATTCGGGCGAGTTTAGTTCTACCACCAAAGTAATTTGTAACATAGGACTTGAACACAATGGCATGGATCAAATGTGCTTTTTTTGTGCAACATAAGACACAAGCAATTTGACCAGAGATTCAGAGAAAGGGAAGCCTTTTTGGATAGGAAACAAAATGATATGTATTGGTGATAAAAAGAGTTACAATAGTGGACCAGGTGTTCACAATAATAAAAGCAAAGTAACTCCAATAATATAGAAGCTGTACAATACAGATTTGAATCAATCTATACAAAAAATCCCAAGGCGATATAAATTGATAACCGCATCCCAAATGAGATGAATTAAGAAAAGTGGGGAATCTTGAAAATCCTTATAGACCGAGGCCCAAAGAGAAGCTTAGAATCGAATCCTATCCCATAAATCTCTAACTTCACCTATTTTTTTCTTCAAAAAAGTGAGCTTTTTCTTTCTTTCCTGATTACCCAAAAGATCGCAGAAACAATACAACCCTAAGGGTCTTGGCTCTCTCCTCTTCGGAAGGCAAAGGCCTTCTCCATAAGCAAGTCACCACAGCCTCTCGGGATTTAACCCAGATAATTTTGGCTTTCCTACATATATTAGCCCGTAAACTTGCTGCCACTTCACAGTGCAAAGATAAATGAACAATTGTCTTGGAGCTTTTTCTACACCACACAACCAACATGGAGTAGGTGAAAGTTAGACATCTCTCTATGCACAACATCAGCTCTATTTACTCTATAATGAGTGAAAGTCCGAGCCAAAAAATGAATTTTAGGCGGAACTTTAGTTTTCTAAATCATAATAAACTGCTTTAAAGTTTCATAATGACTTTCTTCACATAAAATTCTAGCATAAGATTTAAATGAGTATTTCCAAAACTCTCTAGGTTCCATACTCTTCTATCTTTGGTTCAGTTTAGAAAGTTTTCTAGTTTCTGTGTCATTAAGGATTCTATTAAAGTTTAAACTCCAATCCCAACTGAAATTAGAGGAGGATGAATCAATAAATTCTTTATTTGAAACATTCTTCCTTTCACACAATCTATATAACTGGGGAAGAAGTTCACAAAATGGATCATCTTTCATTCATTTGTCCTCCCAGGTAGTCTTGCCATTACGCACTTTAAGCTTTAATGTGTTAAATGAAATAAGAGAATGGGAGGTTCTCACATATATTTTTGAAGAACTGAGGGGTTTTTGGGACGCTAAAGGGGTTTGGAGGAGAGGATGAGAAGGAGGTGCTATGTTACGTTGTTATTTTGTCATTACCTCTCCTGTTTCTTCATTATCTCTAAAGCATGTTTAGGAAAATTGGAGTTTTTTCCTTTGTGATAAGCAATAAGGACTGTGGGTCTCTTGCAGCCATTTTTATCAAGAGAGGCGATGCTACCACAGTGATCTTTTTACTTTTGCAAGTCTTGATATAAATGCATGATATATTGTCTGATTGAATCTCTTTTGTGTTTTCACAGGGAACCTCTTATAACAAACATCATGTGGAGGAATTTATTTTTACAGGTAAGTGATTTCTTCTCTCCTTTATGGTTATGTTGTTGGTTGATTTTGTTAAATTACATTATAATATGGGTTTTATATATTTCTGGATGACCCCTTATCTTTTTTCTTGTCGTTGCAGGCCTTTTATCAAGTTACTGTGCTCCTCGTGCTCAACTTCCGGGGCACTAGTATTCTTCAGTTAAAGAGTAAGACCAGGGAACACGCTAATGATGTGAAGAATACTATGATATTCAACACGTTTGTCTTCTGTCAAGTAAGTACACTACTTAATAATTGTTATAATTTAAGGAAATCAATTTGTAAATCGTTTAGATGTTTTGGATTAACGCTTCTTTATTTATTTTTGGGCTGATTGTTCCGTTTTACTTATACAATAAATTATGGAAGGAAGAGTAAACCAATGCCTTTAACAAGACAATTGTAGGTTGTGTAAATCTATTTATATTCGTTCTAATTATCATTTGAAGCCTTGATTCGCCGCCACTGAAACTACAGATATTCAATGAGTTCAATGCTCGGAAGCCTGATGAAATCAATGTCTTCCGTGGAGTGACTAAGAACTATCTCTTCATGGGAATAATTGGAATAACCTGCGTTCTTCAAGTGAGCAGTGATTATATATTTTTTGTTTGGGCTTTTATGTAACCTATAAATGTGTTCTTTAAGATTGCCACTCATAAAATGTTAAAAACAGATAATCATCATCGAGTTTCTTGGAAAGTTTACCTCAACTGTGAGGCTCAGCTGGAAGCTGTGGCTAGCGTCTGTTGCTATTGGCGTTTTCAGGTGAGCTCAATTACCGGTATATGGTACCGCATAAGTGCCCCGTTTGAAATATATGTTTGAGGCATATTAGTTTTATGGTTGTAAATGACAATGTTTTTACAAGCTAAAATATTAGGTTGATTTTTGGTCACTAATTTTTCCATATGGACCATATTTATTTATTTTCTCACATTTATCTGTCTATCCATTTCAGCTGGCCGCTTGCTATTATTGGAAAAAAGATTCCAGTTCCCAAGACTCCTCTTTCCACGTACTTCATGGGGCCAATTCAGCAATTGCGAAGTTGTTTTCCTAGGAGACGATCATGAAGCTGTTTGTGATCGTATTATCTCGTTATGGTAGCTTCTGCCAAACAACAAAGGATAATGATGATCACTCTTAAACCCTAAATCTTAAACGCAGAAGTAGCAATGTGGGGTAATGATGGTGACAAAATTGTACTAGTGCATGATTTCAATCTTCCTGAAGCGTTATGAACCAGAGAATATCATGGCGGTGAAGTAAGTTTGTGGGAAATCTACGAATAATTGTGTTGATTTGGTAAAGATTAGAGCACTAACCATTATTCCTAGAAAAACTAATATCAGTATATATTAATTGTGATTCATTATTGTCATTTTTTTGTTTGTACTTTCAATTGAAAATAAGATGATTAACTATGTAAAAAAAAAAAAAAAGTGACTGTTCTCTCTTAAAAAGAAAGAAAATTGTGAAATTTGTAAGACGGATGCAGCTTTTATATTTTTTATGTTTGTGGATAAAGTGATTTTATGATTTTTATCTATAATTGTTCATTCTTAAGCACCAGTTATTTATATCACTTAAAATTTCATGTTATGATTGAATAAATGTATATGTATCTTGTGCATTTTTTATAATTTTAAGTTTTAACATATTAAGGATCGATGTAAGGATAGGCAAGGACAGTAAAAAATAAGGATAAGACTTTCTTTTTTCTGTTGATTTTATTACATGATTAGAGGTAGTGTTTTAAAACTCGGCCCAACCTAGTTTGTTTAATCGGCAAATATTGGAACTTGACTACTTTGTCGGGTTTTACCCTGGATCGATTTTTAAAACATTGATTAGATGTAATAATTATATTTAGAGGTGAGCGGTTTTGAGCATTGTTTTAAAAATCAGACCGGAAGGTAACCCGTTTTACTGGTCAGGTCACGGTTCAATCGGTCTAACCGATTAGACTGCGGGTTGGACCGGTGATGTCATCACATATCATGATGACGTCAGGACATTTTAAAATCATATTGTTATATACTAAGTGTTAACCTAACATTTCGAATTCCTCTTCCAGTAAGTTGAGTAATTAAAAGTTGGCCTCCCAATCATTACAACTGGTTTGTTGAAACTTTATTTGTATTACAACAACTACAAGATTAAAATATTTACAACACCCACGTAAATAAGTTGTGTAATGGCCTCTGTTTTAAAAATGGGACCGGACCGATCGGTCCAACCGGTCGGACTGACCAGTCCAACCGGTTGGACCGTGACCTGGGGCCTTCTCCGGGTTGGTTCACTCTTTTTAACTATTTAAAGTTTAAAATATAACAAACACACCCCTGATTATTACCATTAGTCCTTGAAGGTTTCAAATCTATCAAACACACCCCTAACCAAATGTAAATTGGCAATGACCTCCCCTTTTCTGGCGACCTTCCACCTTCCCTACTGTCGGAAACCACCTTCTGAGTTCTGACTTTCTCTGGCGCTATCACGCTTCATCTCCAGCCGCCGCGTGACGTTTTGTTGTCCACCTTCGCCGCGAGATTTTTCTTTCATTTCCCAGAGTCGATCGGCTTTCTCCGACATCGACAAGCTTCCTCAGCCACCGATCTACCTTCTCCCAAGCTCCCTTGCCGTCGTTCACGAAGATCCAGTCATCTCACCAAAAAAAAAAACAACTGCGACCAGTAACTTTACCACCGATCTGCCATTTTCCGGCGATGCCTCTACTTGCTAGCTGCCGATTCGCCCTCCCCATCATCCGATCTACCCTCCCTGGTGTGTCACCGCTGCTCTCCCAATCGATCGTCGATTTGCATTTGGCCAGGGTTGTGTTTGCTAGATTTCAAATCTTTAGGGTCTGATGGTAATTATTAGGGGTGTTTTTGTTAGATTTTAAACCTGTCAAACCATCGGTTTAACCAGCGGTCCAACCGGTTGGACCGGTTGAACTGTGACTCGGCCATCAGAGCGGTTCGCCCTCCGGTCCGGTTTTTAAAACAATGGTAATGGCTCCAAACTGGGATTGTACATTGTCCCCAATTCTTTACACTAAAGCATGGATAGTTTATGGCTTCCAAATGATAAAAGGGATGAGTAAAATTTCAAAATCTGGATTCACACTATTTCAAAACAAAAGCAAAAATGATAAAATAAACATAAAGCAGATCTTTTTATTTGCATATAAAAGTTATACAGTGGCTTGAATTCTAGTTCTAAAAATGCTTCTTATTAATACAAATAAAATTATATGACAACCAAGGCAAAAATAATTCATAAGTTTGGAAATCACAGAGCTTGAAGGACATTCGAAGATACACCTTCAAATGATTGAATCCATATGGCAAAATGTTACCAAAATTCACAAACAATCCATTATCTGTAACGCATCATTCAGAAAGGGTAATCTAAGAGTACTAAGATTGTAATATATACTTCCCATACATCACTTCCACCCAAACACCAACAGCACCAAACAAAGTCAGAAACAATTCCATGCCAAAAATAATCTCCATAAATCACTTCCACCCAAACAGCAACAGCACCAAACAAACGGTTGCTTAAAAATTGTACAATAAAATATCCAGTACTGCCCAAATAATGGGGTGCGAATTCTGTTAGGAAATTGTAGCTCAAATAGTCAAACTTACTCTCTATTAAAAAAGGACAAAGAGAAAGCACACATTTTAGATTTCACAGCAAAGGTCCCGAAGATTACAACTCACCTTGAATCAAATTGGATTGTCAAGACATGCATGCCAATCAACCTTCATGCGTAGGAACGTGTCATCGATTTCCGGCGAGGAAGAAGTGCGTCGTCGCGATTTTTGGCGAGGGAGGAACGTGTTGTCGCGATTTCAGAGACTGGAGTTGCGATCAATTTCAGCAATGAATGGTTGCGATTTCAGCAAGGGATGGTTGCGATTTCAGCAAGATTGAGTTTTGATTTGTGATATTTTTCAGATTTTCGCGATTCCATTCAAATTTTTTTCAGAGTTTTTTGCATGTAGAGGAACTGAGGAAGAAGAAATGCGCAGCGCAAAGGGAGAAAGTGAGAAATTTAGGGTTTTTTCATTTTTCAGATTGGGCCAGTTTTTCTTGCGGTCCGGTTGGACCGGCGGTCCAGCATTGTTTACATGGTCCAAAGACGGGTTAAAACGGTTTATTATACAATAGCGGGTTTTATGCTGACTCGAATCGGACACGTGACCGGTTCACGGTCCAACCGGTTGGACCGGCCGGTCCGGTCCGGCTTTTAAAACAGTGGTTTTGAGTGCCCTGTGTCGTTTGGGGGAACCAGAACCTGCAAGTTTCGGTTCTTTGATTCTTAGAATCGGAACCTGAAATGTAGGTTTTAGTTTCTTAGAGCATCTCCAAAAGACTCTTTATATGACCTAAACTCTTTATTATAAAGAGTTTATCTATAAAAACAAGAGTCCAACAGACTCTTTATTCTTTAAGTATAAATTAAAGAGTGAGTTTGACTCTCCACATTTAGAGAGTTAAATTTTACTCTCTATTTTAATTTTAAATAATAAATTGCAAGTTTTTATACATTTTATTTATGATTTATCTCTCCTATTAAGTTTCTTTCTTGAAAAAACATATTCTCTCTCCTAAAATTTAAAAAGTCTATTGGATTTGAATAAAATTTTTGTTCTTTATATCTAAAAATTAATAAAGATGCTTTTTATTTATATGAAATATGTTCTTTAAAATAAAGAGCATAATTGGAAATGTTCTTACCTGAGTGCCCTGTAAAAAATCAGTTACGCTTGTATTAGTTTAAAAAATGACAGACACCTTAAAATTTTACAAATACATACCTGACAAATTAAGAAAACCTTAAAATTGTAAATATATATATTTTACAAAGTATAGTTATGGAATTAATTTTGGGTACTAAATTTTAGTAAACTTCATTATCCAAAAATACAAATATTATATAATATTATAATTTCTAGAGTGAATAAAGTTAAATTAACATTAATTGTGAATTTATGACAAAAGAATAAAATTTAATATTAATATTAATATGATTTATGAATCTTTAATTAAATAATTAGTATCATTCTAACTTTAAGTTTGTTTAATCCATGACTCATAAGGCATGAGTTGTTATACTATAATGTATTAATCATTTAATTGAGTAATATAATAATTTAGTAAATTACTAATGTTTATAAAACAATGTTATAATTAATTAAATTTCTAATAATTTAATTAAATAATGTATTAATGTATTAAATTACTAATATTTATAATGTAATGTTATAATTAATTAGTTAATTATTTAACTATAATGTAATGTTATAATGAACTAAGTAATCATACTATAAATCTATAATATAATGTTATAATTAATTAAATTTTTAATCATTTAATTAGGTAATGTATTAAGAGTAATGCTACAGTTACCGACGGGTGTGCACCGAATTTGTGCATCGAATGACGTGGCTAAATCCTGACCGTTTAAATATTATCAGTTAATATTAATCAATTGTCAGGATTTTGCCACGTCATTCGGTGCACAAATTTGGTATAAACTTTTCGGTAATTACTTTATCATTTTCCATGTATTAGTATAGTAAATTACTAATATTTATAATGTAATATTATAATTAATTAAGTACTAAAATGTGATTTTATAATTAATTAAATTTCTAATCATAATGTAGTTACTATTGTTTATAATGTAATGTTATAATTAATTAATAATTAGGTAATCATTTAACTAGTAATGTACTAACGTTTATCAATTTATTATATATAATTAATTAATTACTAATTTATTATAGATATACTTAGAACTTGATAATTGAAGTAAATAACTAAATATTATTCAATCAAATATATTATTTTATTCAAAAATAATTCTTTTAATAACATTAAAATACTTTTAACTGGATCCTGATTCCAATTATAATTTATATGCTTAATTAATCAAAACTTTAATATTATAATATATTAAAGTTTTTTATATGTAAAAATTTTAATATATTAATTTGATTAGGTTATTATAATATATTAAAGTTTTTTATATGGTGAAATATATATGTATAATTAATTGTATATATATTTGATTAGGTTATTGTTATTGTTACACTTTAATTTTTTATATAACATTTCATCCCATTTTACCATTTTAAATTTTTTATATGTAAAATTTTAAAGACCCCCAATTCTTTACTGATATTTCATTTGAATCCAAGTTCCAATACAAGTTCCTACTCGAGTACTCGGACTCGGTTCTAAGACAGGTTCTATTCATGGCACCCGTTTTAGGTTCCCATCACAGGTTCCGGTTCCGGTTCCGATTCTTGCACATATAGGAATCAGAACTGGACCTGTATAGTAACAGTTCTAAAAAATTGGAACTAGAATCTACCAGC